GGGGGGGAGAGGGATGATGGGAAGGGATGAGAAATCATGAAACCCTAGGATTTGGTGTCAGTCCTGTCCTACTCTGACCCAGCGACAGTGGGACACCTGACAAGGTGCACTGAGGAAGCTGCAAGGGACTCAGACACAAGGAACACCCTCGGGCTTCTCTTTCCAATGCATCTTTGTCTTCAAAGAGTCATGACAGTCGACAAGCTTCTGCCTACAACAGTCAAATACTTTCCTTCACCTCTGTTAACCTGCCAGGGTCCTAAGCTTTATCTTCTCCAAATCAATAAACACTGGCACGTTAGCACTTGGGAGGCAGCGAAGCCACATGCCAATGCACTCGGCAATGAAAGAAACGCTGTTCCGTGAAGGCCCAGAGCTGAGGACCACATTGTAGCTGATGATGATTTGCAAAGCTACTTCCAAAGTTCTTCCAGCCAAGCCACAAAGAGGAACGGCTCGGCCCTAACTGGCTTTGTGTGTGTTTCGTCTGCACAGCCTTTGCGAGTGACTGTGCTTGTTGCCCAGCTATGGAAGTCACTTTGCCCGCAGATCCTAACGTGTCTGAAGCCCAGTGAAGAACAAAATTGGCTCGTGTTGCACCACTTCCGGGAGGTTTAAAGCGCCATACTAATGCGGCTGCGCGAATCCCCACAACACCCCTGTGAGGTAGGTAGGTGGAGAGTATTGTCACGCCCACTTTACAGGTGGGATAAATGAGGCACACAAGAGTTAAAGGACCTGCCCCAAATCACCCAGCTAGTCATTGGCAGGGTCAGAGCGAAACTCCTGCTGCATAGCACCCCCACTCAGCGCCGCACGCATAACGGGTGTCTGTCCACTGAATATCGGCGGACTTCATCTGACTTCTGTCTCACATACAAGTACACACACAAAGTATGGCAGCAGCGAAAGGACATCATCGCCTACATGTTTTCTGATGACACCCAGGTAGATGGCTGATGCTCAAGAGTCCACCTGACGACGGAGTCCTCAGTTGAAAAGGATCAGTGTCAACACTCAGGTGACAACCCACTCAATATTGGAGTACCTGCCCTCCCACACAATATTGGTTTTCTAATGAAAACGAAAATGGATTTCAGGTACCATGCTGATATTTGTTTGGTCTGTTTTAAACGGAGCCATCTGAATGGTTCTGTGTTTTGTTTGTACAAAAAAGAAAAGAAATAAGGCGGCTTATCGTCCGGTTAGCATGTTAAAACGGAGCCAAGCTTGAAGATCTCCTCCCAGCTCAGGTGGATTTCTACCTGGGAAACCAGACCGACCCCAGGGAGTGGTGGCTCCTAAGGAAGAGGGGTCCGCGGCGGGACATCACTTGCACTGTTCATGGTCTGTGCAGTCATCCATGTCCACGTCCGAATCAAAGAGAGAGTGTCCCGTGAAATCTGTGTCTGGCGTCCTGGAAAAACTGTTCTCAGCCCCCTCATCTTCGAAGGTCTCTGTCCTTGAGTAGAAGCTGAAATCCAGCATGGGTGTGTGAGTCTTGCTGCCCTCGCTGCTCTCCTCGGACTCGTAGATGGTGTTGTCGTCATCCTGGTGCCACTCGGGCCAGAACTTCCGCCTGATCCTCTCACAGTACATGGCCAGGTTGATCAGCTCCCCTGCAGGTGGCAGATAGGCAAGAGTTAGCGCTCAACGGCTGTGACCTAACAGTGGTGCGGTCGGAAGGCCTGTGCCCACCCCCACCCCCCCCCCCCGGAATCCAAGCGCTACAATCTCTACTCCCAAGATGTTGGGAGGTAGGGCACCTAGAGGTGATGAGGGAGGGGGCTCAGGTGATGAGGGAGGGGGCTCAGGTGGGCATCTGGAGGTGATGAGGG